GTTTAAAGTATTTAGTTGTCTGCCATCGACCTTATAGTCCAGTCCAGACTAACCACGTCAACCTCGCCCAATAGGCCCTTGTTGCTATTTCATGCCTCATTCTTCATATTCTCTCTCAATGCACCAGGCTGTCTCTCAAAACAGATCACCGAGTTTAAGCCTAACAAGTGTCTCCCATCATTCCTTGCACTTGCTCCTTCATGGCACATTCTTGTCCTGGCTGTTGTCATGTCTGACTCCACCACTTGGCCATAGTGGCTGGGTTGGTAGAGATGCCATCTGAGTCCTCTGCAGCATGCTGGGATGCCACCCACACACCAGCTGGTGCACAGATGATGCCAAGAAGTGGTTGAATGAATGAATGAATACTAGGCCCTGGTGATAAAAAGAAGTGTTCTTGGTTCTGGGGTAGAGCACATGCCCATAGTGGTTCCTTGGTGTCCGTGGGAAGGTGGCTCTGGGACTCCCTGCAGCTAACAAAAGCCCTGAAGACTCAAATCCCTTTCATAAAATAATATGGCTGTCATGTCCATAGACTATGGCCTCCCATTTACTTTCTTTTTTTAAAAAAGCTTTTTATTTATTTTTATTGGAGTCAGATTTATAGAGAGAAGGAGAAATAGAGAGAACGATCTTCCATCTACTGGTTCATTCCCCAAGTAGCCACAGTGGTTGATGCTGAGCCAGTCTGAAGCCAGGAGCTTCCAGGTCTCCCATGTGGGTGCAGGGTCGCAAGCCTTTGGGACATCCTCAACTTCTTTCTCATGCCGCAAGCAGGGAGCTGGATGGGAAGTGGAACAGCCGGGATATTAACCAGTGCCCATATGGGATCCAGGTTTATGCAAGGCGAGAACTTTAGCACTAGATTACCACACTGGCCCCCTCCCATATACTTTCAATAATTTCTAGTTTACTTATACAATACAAATGCTGTTATAAAAGTTACTGCAGTGTGTTGCTTAGGGACTAATAAGACAAAAGGTTTGTGCATGTTGAGTATGATACAGATACTTCAATATCTTTGATTCACAATTGGTTGCTTTGTGAATGCATAACCTACAGATACAAGAAGCCAACTGTACGTGAATAAATTCATCTTTCTGCTCAGCTGCAGCGCCTGTTGGGTTTGTGTTGGTTTCTACATTCCACCAGAGGGCGCTGTGGACATGCCCCTGATTCTATAAAATGTTCCTTGGAAACATCCAACCTACTTTGGATGGAAATATGAGTTTCAAGGTGTTTCCCGTTGCTATTGTTGAGCTGTACTTTAGTAAGTTCCCTACCTGAGCTGCCTGTGAGGCTGAAGGACCGAGTGACCCTTGCACTTACTGGCATCTGCCCTGGGCCTCCTGCTTGGTTGTCATGGTCAGAGCTGTCTCAAACATGGTTTAATTTCTTTTCCACACCAACTGCTGAGAGCCAGGCAAGGGCTGTTATTAGCTCCATCTTTAAACTGACAACTCTAAGGGTTGAGAAAATTAAATCATTTTCCCAAGAAATGACTGCTGGTAAGTAAATACCTAAGAAGAGACAAGAACCTGTGTCTCCCAAATCCAAACGTAGCTGTTTACTAGAAACTTGTTGATCTCCAGACATTGTTAAATAAGATAGCAATGCGAAGACACATCTTTCAAATCTAATGTCTTAGGAGCAAAAACTGTCACAACTTAAAGGAACTTTGAAACTCACCTGATAAAGAGTTCTCAAGTCTTGCACATAGAGGAATCACCCTGAAAGCCTGCTAAAAATGCACACCCTTGCTCTTGGACTAGCTTTTCCCCATGTTCTGATTCAATGGATCTAAATGGGCCCCTGGAACCTGAGTTTTTCATAAAACCATGCACCCTTCTTCCATGATGCTGACGCAAAGGAACAGAGAACTACCCTGTGAAACACTGACCCCTTCTCAATGCAGAGCAGAAAGCAGTAGTAGGACCACCAAGATGGGCCTTAAATGTAGGAGGGAGGCTGGCCCAGGACCAATCTTGAACAAGCTGGAATGATGCGGTGGAGGAAGCACTCCAAGAAAAGCCCGTGACCCTGGTTCCAACCTCAGCCTTCGCGTGCGGAGCCAAGTCCCTCTGAAAGTCTAGAAGGGAAAGCAACTCAGCTCAAACTCTATCTGTGCTGTATACTCATAACCCAGACCCGTGCCAACACCAGATGCCCGTGGCTGTGTCCACTCACCAAGCAGGCAGACAGTTCTGGGCACCTTCTAATTCAAATGTGACACCATTGACCTGGAGACAGCATCAGATCCCATAACCTGGAACATTCAGAAATAGGGATGGTCTAATAATACTGTTTAAAAAAAGACAAAACCTAAGGGAAATGAGTGAAGCCCAAAAGGTTAGATACCACATGCTTGCAATGAAGGAATCTCAACTGAACTTGAACTGAGGTTATGCAGCAAAGTGGAGGAATCCACTATGGGGGGAGGGATGTGGGAGGGGTGGTGGGAATCCCCAGTGCCTATAAAACTGTATCACATAATACAATGTTAATAACAATAAAAAAAACAATTAAAAAAAATACAAAACCCCAATTTGGTAAATTCCAAACAGAAACCAAACCTAGCTCTGCTTAGAAAATATCTATTTTAGTTTTTTTGGTTTTTATTGCTGTTTATTAAAAAAAATAGTCTAAAGTCACAGAATTATTTGAACTTGTAGCACAGTTACATTTTAGTTTGGTTTCAGATGAGTTTGGAATTCTACTTTTAACTTTGAATGGCCTCAAGAATTCCTTTCTGATGTGGAATTTCAATTTCAACAAGCTATTCTAGTGTAGAAGCCCGGGGGTTGGGGACGCAGGTGAGACAGACATGTTCCAACCAGGCTGCTCACTGAGTGCAGCGACAGGACCTGGACAGAGTGCAGTGAGCAGGCATTTGAGGACTCTGTCCTCCTGCCACTTGGCTCCAGATGTTCACAGTCCTGAAAAGTGCATGGACTGTGGGATAATGGAAGCCCTGGATTCCTGGCTGGAGCCTCAGGAAACTGGAAAATATCAAACAGAGCCCAGGGATGGGCACGGGTAGAGGTCCTGGGCTTCCTTTTGAGCCGTGCCTGCACGGATCTGATGCTAAATAGCATACCATCAACTTTGGGGGCAAAAATGAGGGAAAGACTCCTCGGCTCCAACATTGGCCTCTGGATGTCACATTGCAAAGACTTAGGAAACCAAACTGAAATCAGAACCATGTCTACAAAGGCAGGTCACGACTTGTGTCCTGAATGCAGCTAGGTCAACTGCATGCTGGAACAAAGAATATTAATATTCTTCATAGGATTTTTAAAAAGATCTAGATGCTTACAACATTCAGAGTGTCCAGTGTCTAATCCAAAATCACCCAGCACACAAAGAACTGAGAAACCCTCCATTGGCATGAAAACAATCAGCAGAGGTTCATAAAAAAGGACCCAAGGTTGAAGTTGCTGAAGGCTATAAGCTGGGTGTTGGGAGATGCCCCAGGACAGAAAGACAAACACTGTTGTAGTGAACAGGAAGGTAGAAAAGATCAACAGAGGAACCTAGGAGGGGAGTTTGGCCTATGGGTTAAGGTTACTTGAGACACCTCCATCCCATACTAGAATGCCTGGTTAAGTTCAAGTCTTGACTCTACTGCTGATCCCACCTTCCTGCCAATGTTCGACCTGAAGCACAGTAGGTGGTAGCTCAAGTGGATGGATCCCTGCCATGCATTTGAGGGACATGGGCTCATTTTCTGGCTCCCACCTTCTGCCTGGCCCAACTCCAGCTATTATGAGTATTTGAGGAGTCAGTCAACACATGGGAAGCTCTCTGTCTCATTGCAGCTCAAATAAGAACAAGCAACTAAGTTCTCAAAAAGAAGGACCTAGTGGAAATGTTAAAACTAGGCTAATTACAAAAAGAAAGAACTCACCAGCAGATTCAGTCACAGGCTAGTGATGAAAGAGGAGTCAGTAAATCTGAAAATTGATCCATAGACATGATTAAATCTGATTGGGAAAACAATTTTTTTTTTCAAATGAACAGACCCATACAGGAACTGTGAGACACTATCAGATTCATGCCATAAGAATTCCAGAGGAAGAAGAAAAATAAGTATCTGAAGAAATAATATATGCACATTCCCCACATTTGCCAAAACCAACAAACCTGCAGAACCAAAGAGTTCAGGGAATCCTAAGCAGGATAGACTCAAAGGAATCCATCTAGAGCATAAGCAAATAGCTTAAAAAAAAATAAATTCAAGGGGAAAAAAATCCTGCAACTAGCCAGAGAAAAATGACGTGTTCCTTATAGGGGAATAGCGATCCAAATCACTGTGTTTCTCATCAGCAACCATGGAAGCCAGGATCTTTTTAAAGTGCTGAAAGGAAAGAACTGAATTCTACAGCCCAGAATTCTACATCCAGTGAAAATAAATTTCAGGAAAAAGAGTGAACTAAAGATGTTCTCAGATGAAAGAAAATTAAGAAATCCATTGCCAGCAGACTTACTCAGAAAGAATTGCTAAAGGAATTGAATCAATAGCCCAAAAAATTCCCACAACAAAAGCTCAAGCCTAACTGACTTTAATAGTGAATTTCTCTGACTTTAATAGTGAATTAAAAAAGAATTAACCACAGTCCTTTATAAACTCTTACCAAATATGGGAAAACAGAGAACATTACCCAACTCATTCTGTGAGACTAGTGTTATCCTGGTGCCTGAATAACAAAGATATCATAAGAAAAGAAAAGTGCAGACCAACCTCTCTTATGAATACGGATGTAAAAAAGACTTAACAATAACCCCAGATAACTGAATCCAGCAACATGTGGACAAGAAAATACCATGACCAAGTAGGGTTTATCTCAGGAATGCAAGGTTAGTTCAACAAGCAAATATCAATCAATATAACACAGTCTGTTAAGGAAACAAGGGACAAAATCTGTATGATCATCTCAAGAGATACAGAAAATTCACTCATCAGATTAAAAACACTAAACATATTAGGAACAGAGGGGAACTTCCTCAGCTACAGGGGAGGTACCGTGATCATGAAGGTGGTTTTTCCTGGATAAGATTTACTCATTGCACTCCAGTTATCCTGACCTCTGAGAGTTGTCAAATGTGGGAAACTCGACTATATAACTTGTGGTAGTGGTGGACTGCATTCCTGCTCTCCCCTGAAAACATCAGAACAAACAGGCATACAAATCCTGTATCCAACACTATACTTCATGGTGGTAGCTTGAAAGCTTTCTCTGAGATCTGAAATAAGATCCTGCTATCTTCTCTTCCCCCTTCTATTTATCATGGCATGAGAGATTCTAGCGCAGTCAATTAACCTAAGTAAACAGAAAAATAGAATCCAGATCGAAATGGAAATGTAAACTGTCTCTATTTTCAGATATTGTGCTTATGATATAAAAAATCATGAGGAATCCACTAAAAAGAAGAGAAAAAAAAAAACACATTGGGCTTAAGAAACAAGGAAAAGGTTGTACTATAAAGTACCAGGTAAAGCTGCCACCTGCAGTGCTAGCATCCCATGTGGATGCCAGTCCAGGTCCCATACGCTCCACTTTCGATCCAACTCCCTGAGAATGCAGTGGAAGATGGCCAACTGTTTGGCTCCTGGTTCAGTATGGCCTAGCCCTAGCCATTGTGACCATTTGAGGTATGAATCGGAAGATGGAAGCTCGCGCTCTCTAGCTCTCTGCAACTCTACCTTTCAAATAAGTAAAATAGATCTTTAAAAACAAAGGAATTGGGCCTGGCGCAGTAGCCTAGCAGCTAAAGTTCTCACCTTGGATGCACCAGGATCCCATATGGGTGCTGGTTCTAATCCCAGCAGCTCCACTTCCCATCCAACTCCCTGCTTGTGGCCTGGGAAAGCCATCGAGGACAGCCCAAAGTCTTGGATCCTGTAACCGAGTGAGAGACTCAGAAGAAACTCCAGGCTCCTGGCTTCAGATTGGCTCAGCTCTGGCTGTTGCAGCTGCTTGGAGAGTGAATAAGCAAACGCAAGATCTTCCTCTCTGTCTCTCCTCCTCTCTGTATATCTGACTTTCCAATAAAAATAAATAAATAAAATAGCAGCCAAAAAAATCCCCACATTTACATAAAATGCCCAGAGTAAGAAAACTCACATAGATGACATGGATGCGAGTGGGGACATATGAAAAGGGACACATAACCATGAAGAGAATAGCATTCACCATTTCCAGGACAATTTGAGGGACAATATAGTTAAATTAATGAATTACAACCCACTCAGTAGAATTGTTGAACTCACATATAAATAAGACAGAAGAGAAAGCTCCAAGTTTTAAAGAAAACCAATAAATAGTGATAATCTATTAATGAATGAATTTAAAATCGTATTCATCAGCCTTTTGGCGAAGAAATCTGGCATACATCATCTTAACCAAGTAACACTGCCAGCCATGGGATAAATCAACACAATGTACCTCCTCACTGAGAACAGAGTGGCTCATCTTTCTGCCAAAGTTGCATCTACTCATGTGGTAACATCAGACAGACTCAAAGTGAGAGACATTCTTCAAAAGAGACTAAGGAAGGACTAGGGATTGTGCCAGATTGAACACTTATGAATACGACAAGCACATGTGACAAGGATCCCAGAAAGTATTCCAGACTCATAAAACATACAATTGGTACAGTCAGTGGAATTTGAGCAAGGTATGTAGACTAGAAGTTAGCATTCCGTCAATGCTGGTTTCTAATTCTGACGATCCAATTGCGGTTTGTAGGAGGACATCGTGGTATTTAGAGAATGCACAGTGAAGTATGAATGAATGACCGCAGAGGGCACCGCAGAGCAATCCAGGTCATCCAGCTCCAACTTACCTCAACCCCTAGCCTGCACAAATCGAAGATGGTTGTTATTCTAAAGGAACGGGCTTGGAGGTACTGTGTTACTCGGTGATGGACAGTGAGAATAGAAGTTGGTGCTGGAAATAGGTACCGTCCTAACAAAAGACTTCAAATGCTGTTACTAAGACTGGAAAGTGTCTCTAAGGAGGCTGTGGCTGAGGACTTGAAGGACAGTGAGGAGAGTTTTGTTGTAGATTGGATAAAAGACAGGATGGCTCGAAGACTATTTCCTGCAGGTGATGTGGAAATAGTAAGGATTCTAATGAAACTGACTCTTTCTTAGCAGATCTCCGGGGAGAACATGCCAAACACCAGTCAGATTCCTCTGGCTACTCCAAAAACTCACCAGAAGAAATGGCTTCATTTCCAAGCAAGCTTTAGAGGAAGCGTAGAGGGCCCAGGACAATGTTGCCTCCAAAAGTATCTCAAATAAAGAAGTGACTGAGGCTGAGAACCAAATCGAGGCCACTACCAGTTGAACATGACTTAACGCTGAGAAGCCTTGAGGAGACTGCATGCTTGCTAAGTGTAGTCCCAGGAAGCTCCTGGGGCTCTCTGACTGTCTCCAACAGTGTTCAATGTTCACCTGATGGTTCAGCCGCAAGAAAACGCCCTTAAGAGTTCACCACGGCACCCAGACTCCCAGCCAAAGTTAGAGGAGGACCCATCTTGGGGCAGGGAGAACATACAGACGTGGCTTTGGTCTGATGGAGAAAGCTCCGAGACGATTGCTTAGGAAACCCTCAGAGCTTTGATTTATTTGTGCACATTTTTACTGGGGCCATAAGGCAGGGGGCCTCCTCCCAGCACTGATACTTTCATCATCCTCTCCCAGCTGGGGCCCTAAGGGTCCTGGGGTGCCTGGGCACATCGGGCATGTCCCCATCATCTTGAACTGACTTTAGACAGTTGCAGGGCATGGCCTAGCTGAGCATGATGGCACACTTACAGCTTGGCTCCCCTTAGTGAAAGGACCTTGGCCCAAGCATCGTTCAGAAAGATAACAAGGTCATCTTGGTGTGGGTGCTGCATCCTTAGAGGTTTCAGGCTAATTTATCGGTAGAAATATTGCCTACTTGGGCCAAAAAGGGACAGAGGAAATAGAAAACAGTTGGCTTTGGGAGCTAGTGCCTGTGATGCTGGCACCCCCATTACAGTGTGAGCTGCATCCCTCCCTGGCTGCTTCACTTCTGACAGCTAATGCAGCGGGGAAGCAACAGAAGATGGCCCAAGTACCTCAGCCTGTGCCACCCAGGCACAGGCACCAGGACGGAGTTCCTGGCTTCTGCCTGACCCAGACCCGGCTGTTGCAACCATTTGGGGAGTGAGACAGAACGATAAAAGATCTCTCCCTCTCTCTCCTTGTTCTGCCTTTCAAATAAATTAATCTTTTTATATAATGCAGGTGCCTTTGGACAGTTCCTGTATAAATCTAGGGTTGCTAAAGAAAACGATAACAAACCAGGTGACTTAACACAGGGATGTGACAACTGTCACACTTCGGGAGTTCAGAGAATAGGGTTTCACTAGGCTGAAATTGGCGTGCCTCCTGGATTCCGTACGGCTATCCTGCGCCCAGACTTGTCCTAGGGCCACAGATCCGCGGAAACCCCTTCCTGGGTGGCAAGCCCCTGGAAAGAAATTCGGGGAGCTGGAGCGCAGAAGGCTGGAGATGCCGGGCTCCGCCCGGCGTCCGCGCAAAGAAGGAGTTGCGGGGCAAGGCGGGCCGGGCCGGGGCGGGGCCGGACGGGGTGGGCCGAGCAGGCACGGCGGGGTTCGGGCGGGCCGGGCAGCGGCGGGCGGACGGCTCGGGCCGAGGGGACGCGCGAGCGCCGGCGATGGGCCCCGCGGCTCGGCTGGCGGCGCTGCTGGCGGCGCTGGCGCTCGGGGCCGGGGACCCTGCCGGGGCGGCGGCGCGCCGGGAAACCTTCTCGGCGCTGACCAGCGTGGCGCGCGCCCTGGGGCCCGAGCGCCGGCTGCTGGGGCTGCTGCGGCGCTACCTGCGCGGGGAGGAGGCGCGGCTGCGGGACCTGACCAGGTGAGGGCACTGCGGGCGCCGAGCGACGCGCGGGCCTGGGCGGGAGACGCCGAGGCGCGGGAGCGAGCCCGGTGGGCTGGGGGGGGACCCCCGAAACTCCCCGGCGTAAGATGTTGGGGGACGCGATGTCGCACTGCGTGGCTCTGTCACAGCTGGTGGCACTCCAGTTGATCCACCGAGGGAAAGTGTGATGGGTGACGGGCCGAACTGTGGAAAGGTGTGTGTGGGGGAAGGATGCCCCCGGCTCTGTGTCACAGGCTCAGTGGGATGTGCAGTGACACACTGTGAGGGTGTGAGGGGAGGCCTCGGAGGCTGCACCTCCTCCTTGAGTCCTGACTTTTTACGCGGGTATGGAGAGACGCCATGTGACCTGACACACTCATGTTTTGGAAGAGTTGGGCGACAGTCTGTGACCCACTGTGGGATGGGATGGAATGGCCAGGATCCTATGGTTCTCATTCTCTGCATATGAAGATGTCCGGGTCACTCCGTGAATAATGCTTGGTACTCGTGACTTCTCTATACACGTTTGTTGATACATCCGCTAGAGTCAGGCACAGAACGTAAAAGAAGGGTCCAGCCTCGCCACTGCCCTGTAGGAGTGTGGGTCTGTAGCATCCTTTGTGTTCAGAGAGGTCTGTCGCTTCCTCTGATCTCTATCTTCCTTCTCTAATCATGGAAAAACTAAGTTGCAGCTGACTGATCACAGATGAGAAAACCTGTAAAAAAGCCATTCTTGCTGCTGAACCGCTTATTGTGTTAGTTATTCTGCCAGTAGATTGCAGGGCTCCCGTGGTAGGGTAAGGTAGTGTCAGCGCGGGGTGGCCAAGGTACCGGAACCACACAGGTAGCCTGTCCACCTGGGACGGGTGAGTGATTTGGCATGGCATCACATGCGGGAATGACTATGTCAGGCCTTCTTGGCCTGGCACACAGAGAAGCCCACCGTACTACAGAAACCGTGGGAGTGAGCATGTCGGGGTTGGAATAGATGATTCTGTGCTGCTGTGTCATGTGACCCTCCCACTGAGCTGACACAACGTAATTATAAAAATGAATGAACATATGTGGCGGCAACACAGTTTGTGTTAGTTAGCTTGTTGTTACTACAATGAAGTAGCTAAGGCAGCCCAGCTTATCAGGTGTCTTAACCTCACAGCTTTGGAGGTTTGGGGTCCAAGACTGTGTGGGCCCCCTTGGGGTGGCCTCTGATGGGGGTGGCCTCTGATGGGGGTGGCCTCTGATGGGGGT